CCTGTTCTCTGTTGGACCCAGCCTTGAGCCCAAAATGCAGCTTGGTCAAAAGTTGAACCTTCCCATTAAACCCAATAATAAACGCCTAAGCCCACACCTCTTTCCTATAGAACTAATTTAAACTTAGCTATTCCAATCAAGTGTAACCTTCCTCTAAAAATGCAATAAGTGAGGTGTGCCATGCCAAATCAAACCTATAATTTATGGCCCTCATAAAATTAGATCAAGAACTAACCCTTATAGAAAAGATTTGAGGTGTGCCATAAATTAAATCATCCATGGCCCTCACAAATGTTGCTATTAAAAATTGAATCTTCGTAGTTGCTTTAGGCGCGTTATTAAAATAATTCATCATAGCTACGGGTACGGTTCCCGTGACGTAGTTGTAATTTTTAATTACTAAAATCCGGGTGTACATTTCATGTGACCCAATTTCAATCTTCAACAATATTAAATAAAGCGTGTTGCGAACCACGGGTGCATTTTATGTAGCGTGGTTTATGACGTGTTTAAATAGCATTGGATCTTCCTAAAAACAACAATAATTAAAAGCGGTTATAAAGCTAAAATGCACAATAGGTTTAAAACATGTAGTAAATCAGATAATAGGCCAATATTAACAGTTCAAGCGACCGTGCTAGAACCACGGAACCCGGGAATGCCTAACACCTTCTCCCGTGTTAACAGAATTCCTTACTTAGAATTTCTGGTTTCACAGACTTTTAAATAAAGTCGACATTTCCTCGATTTGGGATTTTAAAATAAACAGGTGACTTGAGACACCAAATAAACTATTCCAAGTGGCGACTCTGAAGAAAATAAATAAAATAATCCCATTTGGAATAATGTCACTTTAATTGGAAAAACTCCCTTATATCCCCTATCGGGTAGGTAAAAAAAGGAGGTGTGACAGATGCTATTTGGGTGATTGTGGATCGGCCGACCAAGTCCATGCACTTCATTCCTATGTGTACCACCTATTCTTCAGAGCGGTTAGCTGAAATTTATACCCGAGAGATTGTTCGCCTACATGGTGTCCCGATTTCCATCATTTCAAATGGAGGTTCTCAGCTTACATCGCAGCTTTGGAGGGCTATGTAGCGAGAGTTGGGTACTCAGGTTGAGTTGAGCACAACTTTTCACCCTCAGACGGACGGGCAGTCCGAGCGCACTATCCAGTTATTGGAGGACATGTTGCGCGCTTGTGTCATTAATTTTGGGGGTTCATGGGACCAGTTTCTACCGCTCGCGGAGTTTGCATATAACAACAGTTATCAGTCGAGTATTCAGATGGCTCCATATGAGGCTCTATATGGGAGGTGATGTAGATCTCCAGTAGGTTGGTTTGAGTCGGGCGAGGCTAGGCTTTTGGGTACAGACTTGGTACAGGATGTTTTGGACAAGGTGAAAGTGATTCAGGAGCGGCTTCGTACAGTGCAGTCGAGACAAAAGAGTTATGCTGACAGAAAGGTTTGTGATGTGTCTTACATGGTTGGGGAAAAGGTTCTACTGAAGGTTTCACCCATGAAGGGTGTTATGAGATTTGGGAAGAAGGACAAATTGAGCCCTCAGTTCATTGGGCCTTTTGAGGTGCTTCGGAGGATTGGGGAGGTGGCTTATGAGCTTGCCTTGCCACCTAGCTTGTCGGGTGTGCATCCGGTATTTCATGTTTCATTGCTCCGGAAGTATGTAGGCGATTCGTCTCATATTTTGGATTTCATCACGATTCAGTTAGATGGTAATTTGACTTATGATGTGGAGCTAGTGGCTATTTTGGAGCGGCAGGTTCGAAAATTGAGATCAAAGAATATAGCTTCAGTGAAAGTGCAGTGGAGAGGTCGGCCCGTGGAGGAGGCTACTTGGGAGACCGAGCGGGAGATGAGGAGAAGATATCCACACTTGTTTGAGGCTTCAGGTATGTTTCTTGACTCGTTCGAGGACGAACGCTTGTTTAAGAGGGGGAGGATGTAACGACCCGGCCGGTCGTTTCATGAGTTACAGCCCGTTTCTCCCATTTCTGCTTCCTTTTGTGTTCTTCAACGATATTTCATCGTATCGTGTTGGTTGGTTTGGGTTCGGAGCGGTTTCGGTGTGGAATGAGACACTTAGTCTCCTATTTAGAAGTTTAAGTTGGAAAAGTCAACCGGATGTTCACTTATGTGTAGATGATCTCGGATGTGAATTCTGATGTTCCGAAATGTGATTTGGAGGTCCGTGGTAGATTTAGGCTTGAATTGGCAAAATTGGAAAATTGGCATTTCTCGGTCGGCAGTGGAAATTTTGATATTGGGGTCGGAATGAAAATTTTGGAAATTGGAGTAAGTTCGTAGTGTCATTTGTGATGTGTGTGCAAAATTTCAGGTCATTCGGAGGTGATTTGGTAGGGTTCGGCATCGTTTGAGGAATTCGGAAGTTTAGAAGTTCTTAGGCTTGAATCCGAGGGTGATTTGGTATTTGAGGTTGTTTTGAGTGTTCCAAAGGATCGACTAAGTTTGAATGTTGATATGTGACTTGTTGGTATGTTTGGTAGAGGTCCCGAGGGCCTCGGGTTGATTTCGGGTGGTTGACGGATCAAGGATGGAAGTTGAAGGAATGCTGAAGAATTGTTCTCAGCTGTCATAACCGCACCTGCAGAATGGGGACCGCAGGTGTGGGCCTGCAGAAGCGCAAGAGCAGCCGCAGAAGCGGCCATAGATGAGAAGGGCAGGAGCCGCAGGTGCGCAGATGCGGGTATTTGACCGCAGAAGCAGATTCTGAGTATTAAGTGGAAGCCGCACCTGTGATGGATTTTCCGCAGGTGCGGCGTCGCATAAGCGACATGGGGACCGCGGATGCAGAAAATGCTGGGCAGTATGTATAAAAGGGAGACTTAGCGAAGTTGCGTTATTTTTTCACCATTCTTGTTCGGACTTGGAGCTTTTTGGAGGGTTTTGAAGAGGGAATCAAGGGGATACTCATTGGGGTAAGTTACTTGAGCTCAATACTTGTGATTATGGTAATTTTTTCAGTTTTTTAAGTTCGGTAGAAATTAGGGATGAAATTGAGGGGTTAGGGCTTGGAAATTGGAGAGTTTAATTTGAGGATTTGAGGGACCATTTAATGACGGATTTTGATAATTTTGGTATGTATAGACTCGTGAGTGAAACGAGTTTCTAGGATGTGATTTTTGTTGGATTCCCAGACGTGGGCCCGGGGGGCCGGGTTTGGGTGAATTTCAGGATTTTGGTATAAATTGATAATTTTTCGTATGGAATTGGTTCCTTGGCCAATATTGACTTCATTGTATTGCTTTTGGTCAGACTCAGGACGTTTGGAGGCCGATTCCAGAGGCAAGGGCGTCGCGGAGTAGGGATTTGACAGGTTCGAGGTAAGTAATGATTGTAAATCTTGTCCTGAGGGTATGAAGCCCCGGATTTCACATCGTTTCACTATTGCGAGGTGACGCACGTGCTAGGTGACGAGCGTGTGGGCGTGCACCGTTGAGGATTATGACTTGGTCCGTCCCGTAGCAACTATTACGTTGCGTATTTGATTGAAAACTATATTATACTTATGTGTTTTAGAAAGAATTTCTATAATTTGGGCTGGATGCCATATTTGGGCCTTGTGCCAAGCTGTTTGGACCTTTAGGGGCCTTTTCTTATTATTTCCTCACTGTTTTGACTTAAGATCTGTACTCAGTCATGCTATATTTTACTTATTTCATAACTCAGTCTTTATTACCCCGTTTTGATGCATAAAATGATATTTTGGGCTGAGCACCCTGTTTTACTGAGAGCCCGAGTGGCTTGAGAGGTTTCTGACTGAATGAGGCCGAGGGATTGTGTTGTGAGGATATTATGGGATCGGGCTGCGCGTCGCAACATGTTATTACTGATTTGTGATTATGAGAGGCCGAGGGCCTGATTGATTTACGCCACGAGGTGGCTTGTTATAGCGCTTAGGCTGTAGGAGCCCCTCCGGAGTCTGCACATCCCCAGTGAGCGCAGGTACCCTGAGTGAGTGATATGATGTTTTTCCCGTGAGGGTGTTCTTGATTCATATTGTGCCTCAGGGGCTGTTTACGAGTAATTGTGAGGTATCCCGAGGGGTTGATTCTGAGTGATGTTATGCCCGAGGGGCGGTTTATGATTCATGTTGCCCGAGGGGCTGTATACGAACTATGTTTTGCCCGAGGGGCTGTTTACAATTTTCATCAATTTTACTCTAAATTGCATTGAGTCTCTGTTGAAACTGTTGAAAAGCATCTTCAAATGATTGAAAATGATTTTAAATGAGATGATTTGACTCATACACCGGTTTGAAAGCATGTTGTACTTACTGAGTTTTCTTGATGTGGATTTTATGTGTTTCCTACTGCTCAGTCTTTATTTACGTTTATTACTTACTGATTTGGCATACTCACATTACTCCCTTCACCTTGTGTGCAGATCCAGGGGTTGCTGGACGTGCTAGCGAGCGTTGATTTTCATCCGTCGCGAATATTTTGGAGTTGGCAAGGTAGCTGCATGGTGATCATAGACTTGCCCTTCTCTCTCCTATCTCCCTATAGATATTAGTAGTTGATTTCTAGACTATTTTAGTCTTGTTATATTTCAAAACGGTTGTAGTATTTTCTCATGACTTAGTGACACCGGAGGTCGGGCTTTTATTTCTGCATTTGGTTTTTATTTGAATTTATCTTTTTTGTATGGAAATTTTAGTATGCAAAAGGTTATTATCTAAATTTTAATGAACTGTCGTATTATTTTGGGAATGTGTCGGCTGGCCTAGTTCCATGATAGGCACCATCATGATCGGGTTGGTTTTGAGGTCGTGACATTCCCTTAAGGTAAAGGAACAATAGACCAGGTGTGGTTAGCCACAAAAGCCTCAAATTCTTTATTCATTGCTTCCTGTTACACTAGGTGAAGAACAACCTGCTGAAAAGTGGCAGGTTCCTGCACAGTACTAACATTCTTACTAAATATTGATTATTAGAAGATAAACTACTTAAGCACAAGTGATTAGGAACAATGGAACAGTTGGTGAGTGTAGAAAGAGGTGAAGTAGGGGTTGAATAACAAATATAGTCTTGCAAGTATTGGAAAGTATGAGTCCTAGAAGATCTTCTCAAAGGGGAACTAGAAGAAGGAGGATCAAGAATAGGAGAAGAGGTGACTGGAGGTGGAGAAGAAGCAGGGGCTGGAGAAGATGTAACTAGAGGTAGAGAAGAAACATGAGTTGGAGAAACAGGGACAGTAGAAGTAGAATGAGGAGAAAAACGGGATGTGGTGTCATACCTAGCTGCATCATTTAGGCCTGTTTCAGAATTATGCATTGGATTAGGATGATAAAAAGTATATGTAGGGTTTCCAGATTTATAAGAGAAGATGGACTCATGAAAAGTAATATCTCTAGGTAGTGTAATTTTCTTGGTATTAAGTTGAAGTACTTTGTATCCCTTTTTGGAAAAAGGATACCCAATGAATACACATGCAGAGGATCTGGGTTTAAACTTATCTCGAAGAGTCTTTGGTGTGTTAACATAACATAAATAACCAAATGCTCTGAGATGTTGATAAGAAGGAGGGGATTTAAACATTACTTCATGTGGATAGTTCCCAAATAAAACAGTTCTTGAGAATCTATTAATGAGATAAGTGGCTGTAATAACACAATCACCCCAGTAAGAAGTGGGAAGGCAAGATTGAAATAAAAGAGCTCTTATTGTCTCAAGGAGGTATTTGTGCTTCCTTTCCACCACACCATTTTGTTGAGGGGTGTGTGGAGAAGAATTTTTAAGGCTAGATCCTAACTCCAGTGCATTATCCGATCTAAGTAGTTAACTTTCATATTGAACAGAGTCCCTACCATACAAAAGAAGGTTTTCAGTATGGTAAAAACTTGCTCTTGCAGCTCAGGAAATGGGTTCAAGTTACTCTACTATAATCATCCACTATAGTGAGAAAATATCTATAGCTAGAATAAGTGGAGGTGTGGTAAGGGCCCCAAAGGTCCACATGAATGAGATCAAAAATCTATGTAGAAATTTTACTGTATGGAAAGGAAATGTTTTGTTGTCTAGCCAATGGACATATATTACAAATAAGGTTGTTTATTGCATGCTGGTAAAGAAATTCCATTTTTTTTGACATTTTGGAAAAAGGAATATGACCAAGTCTAGAATGCCATAGTTCAACAGTTTTATCGTTAGAGGAACCTGTATTACATGTTGAACTAGAAGTCTTATTCGCACTATTTACAGAATGTAAGGGATCAGGGATAATGGCATTACTTGCAGATTGTAAAGGGGCAGGGATAGTGACATTATTTATAGATTGTAAAGAAGCAGGGATAAGGTGAGAATCAAAATCAGTAGTAGTAAAGATGATAGTGGGTTTGTGCACGATGTAAATTCCTTGAACCAGATCACCAAGAACCAGTGTCCTCTTCAGAGAAGGGGCCTGCAATATACAAGAAGTTGAGGTAAACAAAATATTACAATGTAATTGAACTATCAATTTATGAATTGAAAGAAGATTATATCTAAAACTAGGAATAAAGAGTACATTTTCCAAGATAAAAGTAGGAGTCAAAGCTAAAGATCCTACAGGAGTTACTTTAACTTTGTACCCATTTGGAAGAGTGATTAAATAAGGAACAGGAAGATCATGAACATGTGTAAGTAAGGATTTTTCATGTGATCACTTTCACCTGAGTCTATTCAGTACTTAACAAAAATCTTAGAATGAAAACACATACAAGAACCAGCACTATGAGTAGCACAAGCTATCTTTTCACCAAAGAAACGGGCTATCTTACTTGCAAAGTTGGCAGATATTGTAAGCATTTCAGGCTGAGGTGCATGTTTCTCAGAGTTAAGACAACTAGTTTGAAGTAAAGAGACCAACTCTTGCAATTGTTGGAAGTATTGAGGTGTGAAGGAAGATACTGAGGACTGACATTTATCAGTGAACTCAGTGGAATTGTCAGTCACAGGGATGACCTGAACTGTTTCAACAACTCTTTTATTCTTAGTGAACTTGAAGTCAGATGGGAACCCATGCAATTTGTAATATTTGTCGATTGTATGACCTGGCTTCTTATAGTAGTTGCAGTCGAGCTTTTTTGTTGGCCCAAGAACAGGTGAAGTTTTGAAGATTGACAAAAGAACTCAGTCATGGACCAGGTCCATCTTGTGCAGCACAGTCATGATCAATCTATACGTGTGAGATGCACGTGAAGGAGATAAGGTCTACTGATCAAGCATCAATATCTCCTGATCTGATCGAAAAGGTTGCATATTAGATAAGGGGAGAAAGTCTCCTTATGTGAAGAGAACACAATCCAGGATAAAGATAGTGTTAGAGTTTGAGATCATCATGAACTCTTCTACGATAGAAGAGCAGCAATTGAGTGCCAATCAAACTCTGATTACTAACCTATTAAATGACAGTATTGTTCTCTTTTACAGGCATTGCACATACGGAGAAGTTAAACTAAATTGAGAGCAAAAGAGCAAGGCAATTTTGCAAGCAATTTATGTGACATTTGAGTGTGCACTCCTAAAGGTACCTGAACGAGATAGAAGAACCAGTTACATTGTGTCTATCTTTTATTCTAGTTCAATTGTAGTAGGTGATTTAAAATTGTACCTTTCAGCTTTCATAGAAGCAATTGTATTAGGTACCTGGAGTGTTCAAGTTATAGCTAACTTGAAGTTGTCGCAATAGTTGAGGCTATGTGCACAACGGGATTAGAGTTAATCCTTAGGTTTACAAAGAGTTTTTGTAAATGCTGTTTTGGCTCAGTGATTTTAGTGAAAGTTTGGGAAAATCCTACTGGGTAGTAGGTCGTGGTTTTTTTCACCTTTTGAGCAAGGTATTTTCCACGTAAAAATCTCTGTGTTCTTTATTTTCAGTATTTATTATTCCGCAAACAGTAGTAGTTGGAGCACCTAGAAGAACCAGGTTCTTCTATAGTTTAGTTAAGCGAAAATAGGGTACCACACAAATCATCCCCCCCCCCCCCTCTTGTGTGGTATTGATGCTTAAAACATCATTTGGTATCAGAGCAGGTTATCCTTAAAGAGGCTAACACCTAAGGAAAAGATCAAAATGAGTGCACCACCTGGAGACTGGAAAGGGCAATCCACTGCTAGGCCTCCACTTTTTAATGGTCAGTACTATTCTTGGTGGAAGAACAGAATGAGAGATCATATCATAGGAGAAGACTATGAACTCTGGGACATAGTCACTGATGATCCCCTGGCAACTACAAAGAAAAATGAAGAAGGAGTGGACGTGCCAAAGACAAGAGTTGACTGCACTCCTGAAGATTTGAAGAAATGGGAGAAGAATGCCAAGGCCAGAAATGGCTTGTGTGTGGACTGGGACCAGACGAGTACAGCAGGATCCAAAGCTGTACTACTGCAAAGGAAAATATGGGACACTTTACAAGTGGCTCATAAAGGAACTCCTCAAGTAAAGAGATCAAGAGGAACACTGCTATATTCTCAATATGAGAATTTCAGTATGAAGGAAGGAAATCTATCCAGGAGATGTACACAAGGTTCACAACACTAACAAATGAACTTAAATCTCTTGGGAGAATTATCCTTGAAGAAGACAAGGTTGAGAAGATTTTGACAAGGGTTCTGCCAGTCTCTTGGGAAAGGAAAATCACTGCTATTCAAGAATCAAAGAACATTGCAACTCTTATGTTGGATGAGCTGATTGGAAATCTCATTGCCTATGAACTGAGAAGGCAAACCATGAAAATGGATGCACCCAAGAAGGAAAAAAGTCTGGCTCTCAGAATAGCTGAAGGTTCAGATCTGGAGGATGATGAAGTGGCCATGATCACAAGAGATTTCAAAAAGTACCTGATGAGAGGAAAGGGTTCTTCAAGAGGTACAACCTTCAAAAAACCAAGGGTTCTTGAGAAACAGACCAACGAGGGTTGCTACAAATATGGTAAGACTGATCACATGATCAAGAACTGTCCGCAATGGGAAATTGAGTGGAAGAAGGAAAGGGCTGAACTAAGGAACAGGAAGAAGGAACAGGTTCAACCCAAAAGGAACAAAGGATCAACAAAGGCTATGGTTGCTCCTTGGGGAGAAACATCAGATGAGGACTCAGAAGATGAAGCTGGAGATGAACAAGCACTTATGGCCATCGGAGAATCAGATGATGAACAAGAGGTCCAAGTGAAGGGAAGTAGCCAAATATGGTACATGGATAGTGGCTGCTCAAAACATATGACTGGAAGTAAGAACCAGTTCCTTTCACTTGAGGACTTAAAAGGGAGGTAATGTCTCCTTTGGTAATGGGAAGAAAGGTGAGATTATTGGGGTTGGAAAGGTAGGTAAGACAGATTCACACTCCACTGAAAATGTCTACTTAATAGATGGCTTGAAATACAGCCTGATCAGTATGTCACAACTGTGTGACAGAGGTAACCTTGTAGCATTCACCTCTACCAAATGCTTTGTGATTAACCTTACCACTGACAAGATTGTTTTGCAGGGAAAAAGAGTTAACAATATTTACATCGTAGATTTGTCTACTCTTTCAGAAAATGAACTCACCTGCCTAAGTGTGTTAGATAATGATCCCCTCCTGTGGTACAAAAGACTTGGTCATGCTAGTCTGAATCAGCTAAACAAATTAGTCTCTAAGGACTTGGTGATAGGGCTACCTAACATCAAGTTCAAGGAAGACAAAGTTTGTGAGGCCTGTGCAAGGGGGAAGCAGGTAAGATCATCCTTCAAAAGCAAGAAAATCGTAAGCACAACCAAGACGTTGGAACTGGTCCATATGGATCTCTGTGGTCCAATGAGAACCTTGAGTAGAGGTGGAAAGAAATATGTAATGGTACTTGTTGATGATTATTCTAAATTTACCTGGGTACTATTTTTAACATCTAAAAATGAAGCATTTGACATGTTTACTGATTTTGTTAGAAAAACTCAGAAACAACTAGGTAATCAACTTACATCCATTAGGTCTGATCATGGAACTGAATTTGAAAATGCTAAGTTTGCTGAATTTTGTGATGAGCATGGTATATATCATAACTTCTCTGCCCCTAGGACTCCTCAACAAAATGGAGTAGTTGAAAGAAAGAACATGACTCTTGAAGACATGGCTAGGACTATGCTTCTTTCTAGTAAACTGCCCCACAGCTTCTGGGCAGAGCTTGTAAACATTGCATGTTACATTATCAATAGATGCATGACTAGACCTCTTGTAGAGAAGACTCCCTATGAGTTACTTAAAGGGAGAAAACCAAATATATCCTATCTTAGGGCATTTGGATGCAAGTGCTTTGTGCACAATAATGGAAAGGACTCGCTAGGTAAGTTTGACCCCAGAAGTGATGAGGGAGTATTCTTGGGATATTCTTCACATAGCAAAGCATATAAAGTGTTCAATAAAAGAACTTTGTGTGTAGAAAAAAGTGTGTATGTAGTGTTTGATAAAACTAACATTCTTTCTGAGAGACAGGAACATGAAGATGAAGCCATTGGACTGGTAAAGGATTTGATTGAAGTCGCAGCACAAGTTAAAGTGGCACCAAAAGAAGGAACATGTGATGGAACAGTTGTGACGACCCAAAGGGTCATCACCGGACTTCTTCCTATTTCCGTGCTTCCGAGGCCTTGAAAACCTCACTTTTAGTTGCCTCGATTTGCGTGCACAGTCCGAGCGCGAAGCCGGAAAGCTTTTATGTTGAAATATGTGAACTTTGTGAAAAATTTGAAGAATTTTGATATTAATATTGCTAAAGTTGACTTTGGTCAACATTTTTGGTAAACGGACCCGGACCCGTGATTTGGCTGTCCCGGAGGGTCCGTAGAAAAATATGAGACTCGGGCATATGCCCGGAGTCGAAATCCGAGGTCTAGAACCCGAGGAAAGAATTTTTCTGTGAAATTGTTTATCTGTAATTTTTAAGGAAAATGGAAATGAAAATTGATTAAAAGACTGAGGTATCGGGCTCGTATGTTGGTTCCGATGCCCAGAACAAGTCTTAAATATGTGTTAAGCGCTTTCTGTAAAGTTTGGTCGAAATCGGATGTCATTTGACGTGTTTCGGACCTAAATATCTAAAGTTAGAAGTTTAAGAAGTTTGAAAAGAAAATGATGATTTTGAAGCTTGATTCATGGATTTTGATGTTGTTTTGGCGATTTGATCACTCGAGTAAGTTCGTAGGATGTTATTGAGTTAGTGTGTGTGATTGGTTAGGAGCCCCGAGGGCTCGGGAGTGAATTGGAGGTGGTTCGGGGTGATTTTACACTTAGAAATATAGCAGGTTTTCCTTCCGCTGTTGCAGGCCAGGTTTGTTCTTCGCGTTCGCGGTCGCCCTTAGACTATCACGATGTTGGCCGGGTCCCCTTCTTCGCGTTCGCGAACCTATTCCGCCGTTCGCGTAGCTTTAGTTCCACCTTCTTCGCGTTCGCGAACTAATTCATGCGTTCGCGTAGTTAATTTCCCTGGACCCCCCAGTCTTTCTCTTCGCGTTCGCAGCCTCCTCATCGCGAATGTGATGGTTTGTTGAATTAACCCTTCGCGAACGCGGCTCCTTTCCCGCGAACGCGAAGGGCATTTTTGCCCAGTTAATTTTAAAAGCTCAAAACAGACCCATTACGGGATTTTTCCCCTTTCTTCATAAAACTTGTCTTCTCCAAGCTCTAGGGGCGATTTTTGAAGCTCTTCTTCACCAAAGTCTTTGGGTAAGTAATTTCCCACCTAATTCCTTCACTCTTCTTCATTAATTACTGAATTCCTAGACCTAAATCATGAAATCAAAGTAGAAATTAGGGGTTTTGGGTAGAGTTAGGG